GTTTGTTCTGAAGAAGAGGAAAGGGAGAATTTACTGCATAAATAAACCAAGCAACCCTTTGATCCAAGACATCTGCCTGGAATTTGATGGTCCAGGTACACACTCAACCATGGCTTTTGCTGGATGATTTTTCCAGTACAGGTAATTTACTGTTTGACACATGTTTAGTGGCAGCACCGCTGACTGCAACCGATGATTCTAAAGTTGCAGGTAATGGATGTTCCCAGCTCTTCTGTCTACACCGGGCTCTGAAACAAAACCCTCAGACCCAGTCACTCTCAGCCCCTGCTTTAACGCAACGAGTTTGGAAAAGAAAGATTCCTCCGGCCACAGCTTTGTGTCCCCCACAGTTTAACCGGGAGTATGTATTCTAAACCTGACTCAATAAATCATACGGATTTTCAAAATCTATTTAAACCCTTCTCTCTAGCCACCCACCAAACAGCTAGAACTTTTTTTTTTTCAAAACGTTTAAGTTCATAAATGCCTAAAAAAACGTCACCTCGGATGTTTGATTCTAGTGAGCAATAAAACAATCATTCCCGAAGTCCAGCAGTAACAGCAAACTCTCGCGCCACACGAACATGCCAATTATATTTCAAACGTGAGCATTTTGTAATTCAGAAGCCATCAAACTTTTGACCGAATTTAAGTTATCAGTCACTAGCATAGTAAGGCCTGGCAGGCAGCCCAGAAAATGGGTGAACAAAAAAAGCTTACTCCTCTGTTGATCCTAGCTGTTCGGATGTGTCCATGTCGTCATCTTCAAAGTCACCCCAAGTCAGGGGCCGTTTCTGCTGATAAGTAGGCCTCGTGTCACTGAGTCTTAGCATTTCCATTTTACACACCACTCCTTTTTCAGCCAGGAATTTCTTACCCATGTTGCGGGAGAGGGCTGCTTTCACCCCTCCAGCCATGGCAGGTTTTTTCTATCGTTGCCATCCACCCAAAAGGCTGCAGCCTGAAGAAAGTTATCCCTTCTCCCCACCGCGTTCTGCTTTGACACCGGGTTGCTCCTATCTGGGGGCACACTCCTCTTCGTCTCCCTTGTTACATAAACTCCCACCCTCCAGGAAAACAAATGAACTAACAACTAAGAGCCCTGCCCAGATACAAAATGTTGTATCCCCAGCCTCAACTGCGGAAGCGGGTAGCCGCAGATATCTGAAAACGTACAGAGTTCTGGATACAAAATATGCATCTGCATCCGTAAAAATAAGCCGCGGAGATCCATGTTGACATCTGCGAATGAGGAAGATTAAGGGGGGACATGATAGCGGTTTTCAAATATCTAAAAGGGTGTCACAAGGAGGAAGGAGAAAATTTGTTCCTCTTGGTTACTGAGGACAGGACAAGGAGTAATGGGCTTAAAGTGCAGCAGGGGAGGTTTAGATTGGACATTAGGAAAAAATTCCTAACTGTCAGGGTGGTCAAATATTGGAATAAATTGCCAAGGGAGGTGGTGGAATCTCCCTCTCAGGAGATATTTAAGAACAGGTTAGATAGACATCTGTCAGGGATGGTGTAGACGGAGCTTGGTCCTGCCTTGAGGGCGGGGGGGCTGGACTCGATGACCTCTCGAGGTCCCTTCCAGTCCTATGATTCTATGATTTGCAGGGCTCTTCTGACAATCCAAGACTTTTGCTCGTGTAGCCCATAGGACTTCTTCACTGAAGTACTGTAGGCGTTTAGAGACAGAGACTCGGAAATTAATGGGTTTCTGACTGCATGTGCAACCCACACACCTCCTGGGTGTTGTGCTCTGTCTCTTCTAGTAGGACCAAGACCACTTAGAGTGTGTCTACACAGAACCCTAAAGGCGAAATAAGATACGCAATTTAATGGCATATCTTATTTCGATTGAATTTCAAAATAGGTTATTTTGAAATTGGGCACATCTACATGGCGCCAAATGTCAAGATAATGTGCTATTTTGAGACATCCCTTAACCCTCATGAAACAAGGGTCACCGGGATGCCGAAATAGCTTGCCCATTATTTTGAAAAGTATTTCAAAATAATGGGCTCTTTGTGAAGATGCGGGGAAGCTATTTCGGGATACCTCCAGTATCCTGAAATAGCCATGCAGTGTAGACGTACCCTTCGAGATTCATGAGTCGGCTACAGCCTTAGCTAAGAGCTATGTGACTTTTTGCTCATACATTAAGCTCCAGAGGTCTCCGCTTCAATCCCACCCCGTGAAGGCCAGGGTCTGTGTCCACATGGAAAGAGACAGAGCAAGACCTTTTATCCAAAGTGCCCAGGACCACCTATCCTAGTAGTTTCCAGGTAGATCAGTGTTTTCTCATGGGCTGCAGTATAAGGTTCCATGGTAGGTGCAGTCATAAATATTCGTTAATTGAGAACTGAGCCAATCAGAGCACAGGTAGGGAGATGCTACGACATAGGAGTATGAGACCACCTCGATGCTGTGCTGGTAAGAAACATGATGGTGTCTCCTGGAGTTGGAGGTCAGGTCCCAATGCCTGTGTGGACTTTGCCAGTCTTCTTCACCCAGAACCACAGACCCTGGGGCCCTCACGGGATCAGTCCCTAAGTATAGCACAGGTAGGGCCCTACCAATTTCATGGCTGTGAAAAACGCATCACGGACCGTGAAACAAGCCCTTCCCCCCGTGAAATCGGATGCCTCCTTGTTCTGAAGAGCAGCCCACCCAAGGGGGCGTCCTAGCTCAGACGGGGCAGGAGAAGGACAGGACCTGTCCCTCCCCTGCTAACTGTTCTCGTGGCGGGAGGGTGGGACCTGACCAGAGCCCACTCCGGGTGCCTCTCCCTGCTTCAGGACACTGTCTGGGTTTGGGCTGCAGCCGGGGGCTCCTGCAGCTGGAGGAGACTCGTAGAGCTGGATCGAATCTTCCCTGTCCTGCTGGGAGCGCCCCATCCAAGGGGGCTTCCTAGCTCCAACTGGGTAGGGGAAGGACAGGACAAGAAATGAGTGTGGGTTAGGCGGTGCAGAGCTTCCTGCAGCAGGGCAGATACACAGCAGGTCTTGTCCCACCCAAGCTGGGCAGGACTAGCAGCGAGGAGCCCCTGGCTGGGGCGCTCCCAGCCACACAGGGGAGATCAGACCCACTTTTCCCTCTTGGAACCTCCTGCAACTGCAGGAAGCTCTGCAGGCAGCACAGCAGGGAGGAGGGCAATCCCATCACACACACACACACCCGCCCACCCAGCAGGTTTGTGACCCTCCCAATCTCCTTTCGGGTCAGGACCCCACGGTTACAAGACTGTGAAATTCCAGGTTCAAACAGCTGAACATGTGAAACGTACCCATTTTCAAATCCCCTGTCCGCGAAACTGGCCACAATGGGCCGTGAATTTGGCAGGGCTCTGGGGACCTGACTTACTCGACCAGGGTCATGAAGCTAGATATTCCCCACTCGTTCTTTCAATAGAAAATTACAGGGGAATTAGCTCAAGAGGTAGAGCTCTTGCTTTGCATGTGAGAGGCAGTAGGATCAATACCCACGTTCTCCAAAGATGGGGAATCCCCATTTTGGTGGGGAGGAATAGCTCATTGGTTTGAGCATTGGCCTGCTAAACCCAGGGTTGTGAGTTCAATCCTTGCAGGGGCCATTTAGGGATTTGGGGCAAAAATTTGTCAGGGATGGTACTTGGTCCTGCTGTGAAGGCAGGGGACTGGACTCAATGACCTTTCAAGGTCCCTTCCAGTTCTAGGAGATAGGCAATCTCCATTAATTTAAAGAAAAGCAGCCTTCAACTCAAAGGCTCATGGATTCATCATATGTCAACATTGCAAGAGAGGCTGTGACCTGTTCCGCATTCAATTCAGATTTCATTTCTAAACGGGTTTCGTTTTGAAAAAGAAAAAATAAATGATCATTTGAAGACCAAAACAAACAAAATTATATCCAAGAAATTGGAAATAAAAAAAAAGCATTGATTTTTACCCCGCCTGGAGTGTACAACGCAAGGTGTGCTGTCCTGGGAGTGTGTAGCAACCATGCACCTGACAGCTAATGTTAAACCAGGAAGGGATGTGGTCCCTCTCCCATTACATGCTGCCCTTCACATCCCTGCCCAAGTCCTATGGATCCCCCATCAACTCCCCAAGCTGGTCTCCTTTGTCCGGGAGTCTCATACAACCCCTGAAATCAATGGGTAGGAATGGCTGCTGAGACACCCAAGTCAACCTCCCCTGGAACCCAATCACCAGTGCAAATTCCTAGCTCCTGACAAGCTAGAGCAGGGGTGGGCAACCTCAGGCCCGGGGGCCAGATGTGGCCCCTTGCTTGCCAGAATCCAGCCCCGAGACTCCGCACTAGGGAGCCCGCACTGCCACCCACTCGCAGGGCTGGGGCACACAAAGTCCACTATCCTGGGCTCCCCTAGGCTCTGGTGAGTGAGGGGAACATGGGGAGTGTCTTTCTGCTTCTCAGTCAGGGGCTTCTCACTTGTGTGCAGCCCTGAAGTGATTTTTCTGTGGGTCAGCAGCCCCCAACCCAAAAAAGGTTCCCCACCCCGACCTAGAGTCTGATCCAAGAATTAACTCCAGTTCTCGGATACAGCAGTTGCAAGTAAGAGCTTAACTCCATTTACGGGGAGATTGACGCTGCAGAAATCGACCACCTGGGATTTGATTTAGAGGGTCTAGTAAAGTCATTCTAAATCGATTGCTGATGGCATCCCTGTTGACTCTGGTACTCCACCGGCTCACGAGGAACACCCTCCCACAGTGGGAACACCGTGGAAATTTGACCTAAGGTACTTTGACTCCAGCTACGCTATTCAAATAGCTGGAGTTGCGAAGCTTAGGTTGACTTTCTCCCCCAATGTAGATCTGGCCTTAATCTCACAAGTCAGAATGGACCAGGCAACGGAACGTGGGAAAAAGAGTTGCTTGTTTCAGTGGGAAGTTTTCCTACAACATGCGTGGCTCCCCTGGGTTCAATGGCTAGCTGGATCATATGGAAAAAAATGGCAGCAGTAGAGAGTTAATAGAAACATTTAAAAAACTCACGGTTGCCGACAGCTTCCCTCCATTCTTCTGAACATACATGACCGAGTCTCGTATCAACAAGAAGAGACTGAGCAGGACATGTTCCATGTCATAGATTCCGTACATGCCTTTGGTCAGCCCTTCCAGGGACCGAATATACTCTCTCCAGTGGTGATCTATCTCTACCACACTCGCCAGGCACCCTTGCATCACAACACTGCAGTATCCGGCACAAGGCTTGGCCATCAGGAGCCCTTGGCAATGAGAACAGTACCATATCCTTAACAGTGCTCGTCCGCATTCCTTGCTGAACTTCAAGTGGTCAGTGCTGTTGATGACTTCGATCCCCAAGTTGAGCGCCTGTAGAAAGGCCCGCGTGGCCTGCAACGACTTTGACACCTGGGTCATCATAATCTTGGGATAATTACCAAACACCCTGAGGTCCCGCCTCGCTACCCGCAGGCATTCGCTCATTTCTCCAGAGGGATCGGGGAAGCCTCGATTCATCAAGTGAGAGTAGACTAAAGGGAACAAGCTGTCAAAAAATTCATTGACCATGTCATTCACATTGATGTCCGAGCCCAGTATGTAAAGCGAGATATCTGTAAAAAGTTCTCCGACAAACTTAAGCACTCTGGACCCCATGTTCTGGTAGTGGTTCCTAAACATGGTGTTGGTGTAGTTTCTTGCATGCCGTACTACAATTTCGAAGGCTTCTGAAAATATAAACAAAACAAAACAAGAAATCAAGAGACAAACTCTGTGGGCAGGTCTTCACTATGGGCTGGACCAATGGGCAGTGATCAATCCCAGTGAGGGTCAATTTCTTGTGTCTACTATAGACACAATAAATCAATCACGGAGCAGCTGTCCATTGACCCTGGTACTCCACCAAAATGAGAAAAGTAAGCGGAGGTGACAAGAGAGTATGAGCTGTCGACATACTGCAGTGAAGATATCGAAATAAGTAGGCCAAAGAACATTGACTTCAGCTATGTTACTTATGTAGCTGAAGTTGCGAACTTAGATCAACAGCCTGCAGTAGTGTAGACAAGGCCTAAGATGGAACAACGAATACTAGAACATGTTTCTGTTGCTAAGACTGAGGTACCATTCACACTGCTGTTCATCAACTGATTCACATCACACCTGTAGCTGTCATGGCTAGATCCAGTGTAGAACTGAACCATATCAGAGGCAGGCAAGTTCTGAGGAATATGTAAACTCTTCAAACTTAAGATACATTTCAAACAATAAACGCTATGATTTAATTAAATGTCCACTTTTATAGAAAACATTGATTACAAAAATGGACTAGGATTGCAAGTTCACTCACACTCTCAGTTGATTTGAAATTAACAAGAATTCTAGATCAAATTTCTTAATTTAAGAAGGATACAGACTTTTTGCCAACCTGTACATTACATCAAATCAGGAAATGTTAAACGCGGACATTCTACCATGACAAGGAAAATATTTATGCATTCATAGAGGTTATTGAGATTTAGCTTTCTGCACTAATTCTTCATTAGAGGAGTCCTGTGGTACCTTAGAGATTAACAAATGTTTTAGGCCAGGAGTTTTCCTAGGTAAACCCCACTGATGAAGCGGGTTTTACCCATGAAAGCTCATGATCTAATAAATGTGTTAGTCTCTAAGATGCCACAGGACTGCTTGTTATTTTTACAGTTGCAGACTAAGATGGCTACCCCTCTGAGTCTTCTTTAGAGGGTTTTTTTGGGGGGGTCACTAATTTTTGTGTAAGGTTCTGGGGACTAAATTCTCTGCTAGTGCACATCAATACAGTGCTTAGACATCTGTATTCAGGGCCAAACTCTGCCTTCCAATATACATACACAACTCTCATTAGTTTCTGGAAGTATGCAAATGTGGAAGACAGAATTCCACGTTTTACCAATCCTCTCTGCAAGACCAAGGAACGTTCTACATTTATTGCCTTTATACCACAAAGTGGACTAATTCAAGAGCTCACTGAGCAAACATGGCCTAATTTGTATACCTTGCAGTATTTTCCTGCTCAAATGGTATCAAGGAGACATGCATACCTAGAGAGAGGAAATGTGAGTAAGTGAACAAGCGTGACATTATTGGATTAAAATATGACCATATAGATCACTGATGCAACCATTCTTTTAGATTTGCAACAAATCTTGTGCAACTCGTGCCAAGTGAGGTGTCTATGCAACGGTTATGATTTGCCAGTTATGGTTAGGCTATTTCTAGCCTCATCGCATTTTTGTATTTGAAGTTGTGAGCACTGGCTAATTACCTCATTTCAAATGTTTGATCCTGGGGAATGCCCACAAAATATTTAGCCAAAAAGCATGGAAGGACTATTCAAGTGGAATGGCTCATCAAAAGGACCCTTACGCCCATAATAAAGCATGGGAGCCAATCAACCTCACAGCATGGACTTTCCCGTGAATGTTCAGATTAGCATGTGGGCAGTGACTTCCACTAGGAAAGAACTGAGTCATAAATGGAAAGATGATTGGTACACGTGATCGCTCATGGGACTAGACACTATCTTGTTACTGTACTTTTCCACAGGAAGGACAATGGGATTCCCTTCATCTTTGTCATGAACAGGAGGAGTGCTGACTAGCACCCGATGACTAAGGAGTTAACTTAGGCACGTAGCAAAGATGTCGGCCAAGGGGCTGGGAGAACCAGTCGAGATAAAGGGTTGAAATCTGATTTGGATATCGGTCCCCTGCTTTCTTTGAGTGGGAGAGAGAAACTAGGAGTTGAGACACACTGGGGCTACGGCTACACTATCATAAATTCATAGACTCTTTTGGCAAGCACTACATGCTTGCTAAAAGAGGCAATGCAAATGAAGCATGGATTAGCATTTTCTCATGCTTCATTTTCATACTCTCTTTCATTCTGTTTTTGCGCAAGGGGTTTTTTCACAAAAACAAACAGTGTGGACGTTTCCTTTTTGCGCAAAATCCTTATATGGATCTTGCGCAAAAAGGGTTTTTGCGCAAAAATGGATCGGGAGAGAGTATGCAAATAAAGTGTGAGAAAATGCTAATCTGCGCTTCATTTACATAGGTTCTTGTGGCAAAACTCGTAGGCTACGTCTACACTGGCACCCTTTTCCGGAAATGCTTAAAACAGAACAGTTTTTCCGTTATAAGTATTTCCGGAAAAGCGCGTCTACATTGGCAGGATGCTTTTCCGGAAAAGCACTTTTTCCGGAAAAGCGTCCGTGGCCAATATAGACGCGCTTTTCCGCAAAAAAGCCCCGATTGTCATTTTCGCGATCGGGGCTTTTTTTGCGGAAAAGACTACTGGGCTGTCTACACTGGCCTTTCTCTGGAACAGTTTTCCCGGAAAAGGACTTTGCCCGAACAGGAGCAGCATAGTTTTTCCCGGAAAAACAATGACGATTTTACATTAGATCGTCATTGCTTTTCCAGAAAAGGAAGTGGCCAGTGTAGACAGCTGGCAAGTTATTCCGGAAAAGCAGCTGCTTTTCCGGAATAAGTGGCCAGTGAAGACACAGCCGTAGTGTAGACATAGCCAGAATGATTTCAACCCAGGCAAGATTATCATGCCCCACACGGAATTCAGGGCATGGCAGCGGACTGAACAAAGAGAAAATTAAAAGCGAGTACCAGGGAAATGTGAATCCACTCGCATTCAAACCAAATCACAAAATAAAGAAAAATTACCGTGAACTGTTCTTTGTGATTCTATGCCTCCCCTCCCCCTTTACCATCAAAGCAGTGTGCCAGGTTTTTTTTCCCGCTGTTTTAATTCAGTTTCCTCCATTGCTTTGCAACATCTAGCAGCTGAGGATGCTTTATCAAGATTATCTTTATTTTATAAAAATAATCACTTCTTTTTAGGTGACAATTTGATTCGTTTGTCCGGGAAGGTCTGTCTGTGTGTATTCTGCAGGCCTCTGACTGAGGGGCCAGCTACCAGAGACTGCCGCTTGTTTTTCGCTTTTCTTTTCCAAGCTCTTTGGGGGCAAAACAGCTGGGGATACCCCTGGGGGTGACTTCAAGTGTTCACCCCTGGTTTTAGGGAAAAAACACTTGATGGTGGCAGCAATTCCCCAAAATCTGTGCATTATGATTCTGAGGGGAAGTTATTGTAACCCGTGCCTGTAGAGGCAAGATTCTGAAGCTCTCTTGTGGGCCCTCACCTTCTGCGCTTGGAGTGCCAGAGTGGGGAACAACCTTGACCATCTTGCAGAAGGTATAAAAGGCCCTGGGAACCCCTCCATCTTACCTCTTTCCTGCACCAGTTTCTCTGGACTCACAGAACCCCTCCATCTTACCTCTTTCCTGCTCCAGTTTCTCTGGACTCACACCAAAGGGAGCATTCTAGCAAAGGGACTGAAGTCCTTCCGATGACTTGGAAGTCACCAAAGGCTTGGCCTGAGCCAGCGTTCGATTCCCTCGCCGATACAGGCCTGAACCAGGAACTTTGCAATTGTATCTATTTTGGATTCTTTTCACAATTTTAACTCTCACCTCTCTTTCTTTTATGAATAAGCCTTTAGATTTTAGACACTAAAGGACTGGCAACAGTGTGATTTGGGGGTAAGATCCGAGGTATTTATATTGACCTGGGAGTATGGCTGGCCCTTTGGGATCAGAAGAACCTTTTATTCCCTGAGACTGATTTTTATCACCATTCATCCTGTATAAGAAGTGCTACTGGTTGTGAGACGGGGAACTGGAGTGTCTGAGGGAATTGCTCCTACGACTTCTTGTTAGCCAATGTAACGAGACAAAAGTTCTCTTTTTGAAGGGTTGGGCACAGGCGGCGGGGGAAGACCCAGCTGGGGAAGGCAAACCCAAGCCCCACCCCTTCCACCTGAGGCCCCGCCCCTTCAGCAACCCTTCCCCCGGTGGAGCCAAGCCCTGCCCGATCTTTCCTGGGCACCTGGAGAGCCGGAGCTGTGATGCCATAGCCCGGGTCTCCCCAGTGGTGGGGAAAACTGGACTGCTACATCTTGGCTCCAGCCTTTCCTGGCAGCGGGCAGTGTTGGCAGCTTTGGGAAGGCAATGCCTTCCCTTGCCTTCATTACCCACCGCCCATGGGGTTGGGTGCACGTTGTCAGTAGAGGCCCCCTGTCTTGGACTGTGACAGCTCTGTCTCTAAACCGTGTGTCCTGAATTAGATATGCTTAGTAATGTTCCCCCAGAGCTACAACAAGTTAAAGAGATGCAGATATCCCCACAAGCAGAAATTAAAGCTTTTTTTTAATGCTAAACAGCTACATTGTTCTAGGTCCCCCTTCTTCCAGGGCACTATTAATAAAATGATAAAAACAACGAACTGCCTCTAGGTTCACAGGTCGCCGACACTTCACAGCACACTGGCTTCGATCTGCGTGCGACTGGACCCACCAACCCAGGTGCGATTTGCATGGGAATGATTCCCGTTAAATAACTGAAGGAAAGGTTTAATTTTTCCTCCATAATGTTCTTTCCCCATTGGGTCAATTGGCGAGGGAGCAGCACGGAAGCCCACGAGCACTGGCTCTCGATGCCAGCGGGGTGACACGTCACGTCGCTTTCCCCCAAGATGGCTGCCGGCGGCTGGCTCAGCCACCAACCCTCTGCCGCTTGGGGGAGGGGCCGTATCATACATGAACGAGGCCATTTTGTAGACTGTCAGGACGTCAGGGCACATACTGTGTCTTGCTCTGTGTCTATCCAGTACTCAG